CCAAGCCAAGCGGCCTCAGCCTAGCGCTGGTGCTCAGATCCTGGAACAGCTCAAGGGTCCCGGTTTGGGCCAGCTGCCCTCGTCCCAGGCTGCCCCTCCTGTCAGCACCCAAGGAAGCAACACCTCCACGGGTCGGCTGCCGGGTCTGGGAGCGCCGGTACCGCCGCCATCGTCCTCGAGCTGGGACATGAAAGCTTCAGAGTCCAACAGCACATCCTTGTCCTCGCAGTTCAGTCGTAAGTGGTGTAGATGTTTTCGTGGCGAGTAAATCTATCAATGCTGCGCGAGCGGCGGCGTACACCCTGGCAGTCTGTGTGTAAACTATACCTGCAATTAATGATTGTTTTAGTTTGTCGATTATTCTGACGATTAATCAGTTAATCTGAAAGCTATTATTTTGGTTATTGCTTATTCTGACAATCGATTAATCGGATGGCCATTATTTTAGTTACCAATTATTCGGACAGTCATTCTGATGATTAATCGATTAAGCTCATGAAATTGTTGCCATTTTCCATTTAAACCCTTGATATACGATATTAGAAATACATTTAAAGATGTATTCCTTTAAGTCTTTTTTTTTAATAAGAACATGAAGCTTTTATTGTCTAAAATACAATAACAGCATTCTATGCATCATCATTTGTAGCAAAAAATACCTCAAACATCAACGTGTGAAATGCTCGGCGCTTCCAGCTTGACTCCACTTCAGTACAGTGTAGAACTAATGTTGACTATTTTCTGTATTAACCAAATAATAATAGCAAAAGTTGCTTTATATGAGATATTTTTTCTTTATGCACCAAAAAGGTGAAGCTTTAATTGTGCCTCCTGAGAAGTTCTGGATAGTACATATTTACAATTTGTTTGTTTTTTATCTTAAATGTAAAATGCATATATTTGGCTTAACTGTCCTGAATGTGTTCTTTCAGCTATTGGCCTTTTTTTTTTTTGAATCTGTATACTCCAGTTAACAATTAATTGATTGCCAAAGTTGTTGGATTAATCCAATAATCGATTAATCACGATTAATCGTTTCAGCCCTAAAGTAAATATGCATTTTGTTATTCCTTTTTCCCTGCTTTTGCTTGCAGGTGAATTTGGGCTGCAGCCAGAGCCTTCTCTTGTACTGAGCCAGCTGGTTCAGAGGCACAGCGGCCCCTCCTTGCCTCTGGCGCGCCAGCCCAGTCCTCCCATGCAGCAGCAAGCAGCCCCTGCTTCAGCCTCGCCTGCTCCCCAACACATCAGCACGCCAGCACAGGCCGGCCCGGTGACGGCCGCTGCTGGCGCTAAGCCTGGCGCTCCCAGTCCGGGGCTGGACTCCCACGGGAGCAGCACGCCGCAGCAACAGCGGGGGCAGCTCAAAGGCCCGAAACGAAGGATACCTCCTACATCGAAGGTAGGAGTGATGGTGATGCACCGAGAGAAAAATGGCCTGCTGTTGAAGCTCGAAGGGAGGCGGTGACATGTAGGAATGTGTTGCCTCCTCTCTGGCAGATCCCATCCACAGCAGTAGAAATGCCAGGCTCAGCTGATGTCCCAGGGCTAAACCTCCAGTTTGGAGCTCTGGACTTTGGTTCAGAGTCGGCGCTGCCAGAGTTTGGGGTCGTGGACAACTGTGTGAGCGCAGTGTCTCGGGAGTCTACGCCGGCGCCCCCACCAGCACCACCTGCATCAGGACCAGGGACCCAAAGCCACACAAGTCTGTACTCAAAACCTCTCAGGTACTGCAGCCCTTGGACTAAATGCATCTTATTAAAATCATTTTTAAAAATAGTTCACGTTTCGTACAAGAGGTGATCTTACTTCTTGATGTCAATTAGGTGAATTACAGCTGAGATTGGCAAGTTGAAGAGTTGTGATGGTTATGATTATTTTAACAACTGATTATTCTATAAGTTTTTTTTACTTAGCCATGTAAGCCTTTTAGACAATATCAGAAGTATTAGATGCAAATATATAAACTATGCAGTTCCTTTTTTTTAAAAAAAAACAAAAAACATTTTTGCCTAAAATGCAACAAGTGCATGCTTGATCAAATACTTGTAACATCAGCATGTGAAAAGCTCAGCTTGACTTTGCATCAGTACAGCATAGGACTAATCTGTTGACTGTCTTATGTCAATCAGTTTATACCTGGATAACAAAAGGCCCTTAATGTAATAATTCGAAGTTTGATCACCTCTTGCCATGTGTGTGTTTTTCCAGTGAGTCGCTGGGCAGCTCTCTCTCAGTCGCCCTCCCTTCGCCGCTCTCGTCGTCTGAACCGGTGTATCACTCCTCCAGCGCGGCCATGCCCAGCCTCACGCCATCGTTGGGGACAAACAGCCCCGCTAACCCTCCGTCGTCCACCTCAGCGACCTCAACCACCTCATCTTCTGCACCTTCTACCTCCTCCCACTTCTCCTCGGTAGGGGGTAGTTACGAAGGTACAATGCCCCCTCACACGCGGCTCGCTTTTTCCCAGAGCAAGGAGCCAACGGGGCCGGTGATGGTAAGCAGGCCAGCTTATCTTCCCCTTTTAAAGGATGTGGTTGTGGTTCTTACCGACTGGCAATCGGCTAACCTAAAACTGCAATTTTTTTTTTTTTTGTCAGAACGGTCTGAATGGTGTGAGAACTTCAGCCGCTCTAGACAGTGAGTTACCCACCACCGCTTTATGTTGAGCTGTTTGGGCAGAAGAGGTGCATTTACGTCATCAGTTAGCTGCAAACAAGTTATTTCTGTGTCTCTCAGCGTCGTCGGCTTCTTCCACACCAAAGCCAGAATCGCCGTCTGTGAACATCAGCGCCAACGGTCCCTCGGCGTCCTCCCACTTAACCCCCACCCTGCCCCCACACAGCTCCACCGCGCTCTCCAGCCTAGCACAGGACCTGCCGTCAGCGAACCAGCTGAACTCGCTCAACAGGTCACTCAAGTCTCGCCTGAAGTATCATAACTTTAGAAGAGCGCCGCCAACTTTGTTTTTTTTTTTTTTTGTTATAGACGTATAGAAGTTGCATAATCGCATCCTGAGTTCAACTTTTTTTTCCTCCCCCCCCCCCCCCCCCCCCAACAGCCATGTCAGCAGCCATTCCTCGGTTTCAGCTCTGGGATCAAGTTCTCTCACTGTGAGTACCTGGTGGGGCTGTATCGAAACTAATATCGGTGCAAAATGATCTGGGTTCCTGCCCTGACAGGGATTAGATTTAGATATTTTCCAGATCTGGATCATTATGGAAGAAGAAATTTGTGGAAGGAGAAAAGGAAGGAAAAAAAACAGTCTCTTTTTCTGAACTACTTTATCTGTAGTCTGATTCATCAACCATTCAATTTATCGCTCCATTCCTCTCTCTGTATTTCTGTTTCATTCCTCCAGTAAGCCTTTCGCAATTAATCAATTAATTAAAAGCATAATAAAGTTAAAACAAGCTCCATCATTTCCATTCTGATTATTAATATGTTTTGACAGGCAATTTGGTTGAGAGAGACATAATAATCCATTTTATTTATGGTTTTGCTTCCAAGTGGTTATTACTATTATTTCGATTTTATTTATTGTTTTGGGTTGTCATGTTTTTATTTTGGATATTTAAAACAGTTAAGTGTTCTCTACAAAATAAAAGTTTATTGATCCTTGAGACGACAAATTATTGTGAAAGGCCTGCCCTCCATCTTTGTCTTGACATCCCTCTATCTGTCTATTTATCCATTAATCTATTCGTTCCTAACTTCTATCTTTCCAGCTGTCCTCCATCTATTCTTTAATCCATCACTCTCTTTTTAGCAATTCCACATTACAAGCCAGACCACTCCTCTAAAGCTACTGGGAACTTTTTAATTTATACTTTAAAAACAAGCCAAACCGAATCAAGAAATTAACATTTTAAATCTCGGAAAGCCTTGAAATACGACATGGATAATGTTCACGCACACAGGATGGACTACTTGCCTCACTTTGAATGTTCCCTGTGCTTTGTTTTTTTTTATTTTTATTTTTTATTTTTTTATGTTGGACAGTATACAAGTGTGGACAGCAGCAGCGTGAGCTCCCTCACTCCCTCGTCCAGCTCTTACACATCCTCACAGCCCACAAACTCGTCGCTCCACTCAGCCCACAACAGCAGCAACAGTAGCAGCATCAGCCACCTGGCCAACATGCCCAGCATGGGCAGCAACATGAGCAGCGCGGTCGGAGGCATCGCCGGCACCAGTGGCTTCCACTCGGCCGCCGCCGTCGCCACCAGCACGGCGCTGGGACTCGGCTCCAATGGAGCCACCGCCACGTCCAACCTCTCCGCGCCGAGGACCACGGCGCTGCTCTCCTCCACCGGTTAGACGGACGCCACTGATGCAGCAGGGGGGGATTTTCGAATCGCTTTCCAGTTGGATAAATCTTTTTTTTTTGTGTCTGTGTGTTGACAGGCAAAACTCCTCCCAACCTTTCCCAGGGAGTGCCTCCTCTACTACCAAACCAGTATATAATGGGACCAGGGGGCCTGCTGCCCGCTTACCCGGTAAGTGGATCATCACAAGTCGGGCTGGAATGAACGGCCAGGAGGTTAGTCGTTGATTAATCGTTAACTGGAGCATACGGACTCAAAAAATGCCCAGTTGCCTCGAGAAGAACATATTAAGAGAAGTAGTTACATCGCCACTGTGTAAAATATAACATTTTGCAGCGAAGAAAAAAAAACCCTTCTTTATCTGTAAATATGTTCAACCCAAAACGCCACAAGAGGCACAGTTTTAGCTTTACAAAGTTCATATTCTGTATAAAACATCTCATATTAAACTCCTCTTGCAATCCAAAAAATAATTGACAAATTACCCTACACTGGACTGATGTTAAGTGACCCAGAAAGGACACATGTTGAAGCTAGAAGTATTTTTTTAGCTGTTGCTACAAACAATCAGACATACAACTGTTAATTGTTAGAATAATCAATAGATGATTCGATAACTTAAAATAGTCGTTAGTTGTGGCCCTAATTACAAGGAGCGAGTGAAGGTAACGGCACCTTAAAGTATTCGGCTCCCAGTCCAAATTAAGTTCACTGGCAACTTTTCGAATCTGTTTGCAACAAAACATTTCACTTTGAGTCAGTGCTAATAATTACATAAAGCTATCACAAGAGGTTCTTTTTTATTGTTCAACAATGCGTCATGCATTCAATGACTGCTGGAGTCTCAAAATTATTCAACCCCATTAATAAGATTTATTGCAAATCAGATTTGCCTCGGGTTCATTCGATAGAACCAATGAAGGTCTTCTTTATTTGAAGAAGTTGTGCTTAAAATGGATTACTTCAAAAACCTGGAATGTTAATGGTTGTAAAAAAAATATGACTGAGTCGAGATGGTCTTAAAATTTCACAGAAGAGATCACCGCCTTGTAGAAAAGAGGAGGATTATAAAAAAACGATAAGAGAGGGCCTATATTTGGAACTGTACTTTTAAAGTTTAATGTTAAACGAAGAGTGCGTTCCTCACCTGGCGGCAAAAACAGGAAGCTGTCAACTGCCAACGACTTCCTGCCGAGGCAGGTGGTCAGATACTCTCGACTGAAGGGAAAACACCTGCAGGAAGTCTTGGTGGGGAAACGTTTCAGTTTCGCCGGAGGGCTCCTCCACGCTTGAACTGAAAGATGTACACAACTTCTGAACCAAAGGCAAAATTGGTTCAGACCTTCATAAACGAGCCGAAGCGGCCTTGAAATGCTGTTGTTCTGTACAACAATGAATCAATAAACGGGAACTTTGCCTGTGGATTAGGACGAATCAAACATACGCCACAAAGAACGCATTGACTGTAGTGAAGCATGGCGCTTGCTTGGTGACGCTCCATCAGCTTTGCTTTGGAAACCTGAAGCTGATGGATTAAATCAACAACCAGGAAGTCTTTAAGGATATTAATGGAGGGCTGTGGCCAGAAGTTGGGCTCCGAGTAGGAAACATGTTTCCAGCAGGTTGTAAAAGCAAACAGGCCCTTCACTTAGTGTTAAAGATGATTGTTGTGGAAAAAACTGGCAGTCACTGAAAGTGGCATTTTGTATTTTACTTGGAGACGCCGCCTTACACAATGTTAGTTCTGTTGAGCTACTTAAATGGTGTTTGGGTTTTTTTTTTTTTTAACAAGCATTTGTTAGTTTTTATACAACACAGGTAAAACAAATTTGATGTTGGTGTTCAATAATGTAAGTACAGCTGAATATCTTCACATAAGCATAAATATATTGCATCATCAAGAGTGGCATAATTTCAGAAACTAATTTAAAACCATTGATCAAATTTTACGCTGCGATCTCGAGTTTGATAGAAATAATTAATAATTTCAGACTTTTTGTCGTCCGTTTTGTAGGATTGTGTAACTGTTTGTTTTTTTTTTTCTTTTCACAGCAGATCTACGGCTATGAAGACCTCCATATGCTCCAGTCCAGACTGCCAATGGTAAGACACGCATATTAAAGGCACAGCTTGTGATTGGAGACAGGATACATGGTGTTGACTATTATAAGTACTCAGTGTATACAAGCAGGTGAAATGCATTTCATCTGCCCATTTTAGTGTGTTTTCCAGAATGGAGACTCATTCAACGTTAGCATACGTTGTAAGGTATAACTGCTTGTGACCATTTAAGCGAACATCAATTAAACAGTCCAGTGGTGGCCTTTTAAAGAAACGTGTGGTCAGGATTCTGTCGTTTATTGAAAATTTGAGATGATGTAGATTGTTGAAGTTCAAGAAAATAAGACACTGATTACTCACAAGCACTTTCTGTAACCCCATTTAGAAAGAAAACCTTCAACGGATCACTGTGCATGTAGTGCTGCAACTATCAACTATTTTGGCAATCAATTATTGAGATGATTAATCAATTAATCGGATTAAAAAAACTTTTACGTAGCTTTGGCTTGATTACTGCTCTGAGTGTTGTTCTTTTGGGCAGGGGGGAAACATGCAGTTAACAGTTAATCGATTACCATTTTAGTTGACGATTATTTCAATAATCTATTAATCGATTCAGTCCTGCTTACGTGGTTTTTTGACAGTTACACAACTGTGTGTGTGTGTGTGTGTCCTGCTCCTTTAGCCCTCTCTGCAGGATTACTATGGAATCACATTCCCTGGACCCACAGCAGCTCTCTCTGGCAGAGACGGGAGTCTAACCAACAACCCCTATTCAGGTGACGCTCCTCTTGGTTCTCTTGTTTCATTTCTTCTATAACCGTTCAAACCGGCGTCTGCTCACATAAAATCTCCCCTCCCCCCTGCGGTCAGGTGACGTCGCAAAGTTTCCCCGGAACGACTCCACCTCCCCAGCGCCCCCTACCAGCCTGGCAGCCCCTCAGCCTCCCCAGGCCCAAAGCCAAGGTCAGAGCCAGGCGCAGCCTCAGCCCCCCCAGGCGCAGCCCCCGGCCCAGCCGCAGCACCACAGCAGCCAGCAGGCCTTCCTGCCGCCAGGCTACAGCTACACAGGCCTGCCGTACTACCCCGGCGTGCCCGGCGCCGTGCCCAGCGCCGCCGCCTTCCAGTACGGCCCCACCATGTTCGTCCCGCCCGCAGGCCCCGGGCCGGCCTCGGCGAAGCAGCACAGCATGAGCCTGGGCCTGGGCAACCCCTCGGCCAGCCCCTTCCAGCAGCAGGCGCAGCAGCAGCCGAGCGGTTACGGCCAGCACGCCTTCAGCTCAGGTCCGTGTCTCATTTTGCACAGCGTCCCCCCCACCCCCCTTCGTCGTACGGGAAGAACTTTCGAATCGGACCATTTATGTCATTTTCGACTCACGACGTCTTTACCTGCAGGTTATGAGGAGCTGACAGCAGGGCCAGCGGGAGTAGAGTACAGTAAAGGTTACAACTCCTCTTCACAGGCACAAGCCAAATCTGCTGCTGCAGGGCCTGGGAAAGGTAAGATGGAATGAAAAAACGATCACATCCATTCACTTCCTGAGATGTAAGCGCCTCTCCTGTGTTCACTCCAGGTGTCTCAGTGACATCCAGTAACTCCGGCGTGCCAGACATCAGTGGAAGTGTTTACAATAAGACCCAGGTCAGACCGCCTGAACGCCGCTTCCCAACATCACTCTGTCGTCACCCTGTTTTCTTTTCTTTTCTTTTTTTCACTAACCACCGCTTTCCTTTAATCCACCCGCAGTCTTTCGATAAGCAGGCTTTCCATGCAGGGACCCCTCCTCCGTTCAGCTTGCCGTCGGCCCTGGCGGGTCCCGGCGGACCGCTGAACCCCGGAGCAGCTCCTGGAGGCTATGCACCCACCCCATTCCTCCACATCCTGCCTCACCAGCAACCACACTCACAACTGCTGCACCACCACCTCGCTCAGGACGGACAGGTGGGCACTTTTCAAATCATTACGGTTTTACAAGCTTTCTGTAAAATCGACTAACCTCACTCCAGATAGATTATAGATCTTGTTTTTCTATTCGTTTTGTCATTTTGTTTCAAATAATTTCAATTGTATTCTGCTCTCCCAGTGAGTTTTCACGCCCACATGCCTCTGGTGATGTCATTCAAGGCAATAATCAGGGTTGAGCCTGTAAAATAAATCAATTTAGATTAACTGAATTTTTAGGTTATGCAGATTTAACTTTTGGAAAATGTGGATTTTTTTTTTCCCCACCATTTATTTGTGTTTCTACAGTTCAGATTGACCAGATAATGTTTTACACTGTGTGAAGGGGAGAGAGTTAAAGTGATGCTTGCAAAAGTAGTGATGGAAAAGTTTAAAAATATACAAATCTCTAATGTTGTTGTAGTAGTATTATTAGTAATATTAAACTGGTTAATTTTTACACGGGAGTCAAGATGGCACAAATTTATATTGGCACATTACATCACAACAGTAGTGTAAGAAGCTGGTTGAAGCTTTTTTTTTTTTAAAGAATCTTCACAACCAAATGACGCCAATCATGTATCTTCATAGATGAAAAAACAATGAAGTTTTTTTTTGTTGTAATTTTTCACCTTAAATATTCCACAAATTTTTAACATTCTATTCTCTTTTCTGCAATTTGTTTTAATATAATCATTAAAATGTTGCTTCTTTAATTTGAACATTAAAAAAAACTCATTTTACATGGCAGGTATTAATAAGAATAAAGGTCATAATTTGTGAGGGGATAAAAACGAAAAATACCAGGAGTTAAAGCAAAAAATGGCTCTTGGCCTGTAAAGGTTCAACTTGATTGGAATTTGTGGGGAGGAAAAAAATAAATAAATCCTGGGTCGTTGGAACCAGACAGGCTGGATTCTGCGCTGCTGCACCAAACGCACACAAAGTAGAATCAGAAAATGTGTTAAAATACATATAAACCACTTAAAAGTGTCTGTTAAAGTGCTGTTGAATTGATATGTAAAAATTTGTTTTATTGGATATTCCAGCAGAACAAACAGAAAAATGTCCTTTTAGATTATTATTTTGCTTAACGGTCAGTCGTTTTGCTCCTCAGGGCGGGCCGAGCCAGCGTGGTCAGTCCAGCAGCCTGCAGCAGAAGAGCCAAGTCAACAAGTCGAGCTACGGCAGCTCCCCTTACTGGGCCAACTGAGACGGTTGCATCTGCAGAGAGAGAGAGAGTGTGTGTGTGTGTGTGTGTACGGACACACACACACACACACCCGGGTCGAAGTCGCGTGATCGTAGAGGGACAGAAGCGTTTTTACAACACAAGCTAAAATACACACACACTACCATCCTCTCCCCCCCCTTTTGCTCTGTATATCCCCCTTTTCAAATTTATGGCTGTTGTATGTAAAATATATTTATGTATTTATACAGTATATATGTATTGGTAGGACATAAAATGTGGTTTTCTGCATTGTTTTTATTTTGAAGGACATTTTATTTCAAAAAGGAAAGAAAGAAAGTGAAACGATGAGAATGCTAAACCATGGAGATAAAGTTGGTGAATATACTTGAACACAAGCATCTTGTGATGTGATTTTTCTTTGTTTGCAACCATAAACTGAGAATGGTGTACATAGATTATACGCATCATTTTCAAAGCAAAAGGCCTTTTTTATTATTATTTTTGGGGGAAAAAAACTATGTTTTTGTAACTTTGGTCACCCGCCTCTGTGAATCCTTATACTGAGGGTGACTTTAATAGCTTGACTTCTCTTCTTTCTCCCAGTTTCTTTCCATTTGTCTCTTCATTCCTGAATTCTTACTTGTTGGCTGGTTTGATCAGCCAAGCCTTGGATTTGATGTCATTTTAATCCTTGTTGTCCAAATTAAAAGTTATTAACAGTTCTTAGTGATCTGGCATTAATATTTACAAGTTTTGTTGAACTCTATTCCCCCCACCACCTTCATTCACATGCAGCCTCTTATGTTTCAGGGTTCAAGTGCCGTTTGGGGAAAAATGGAAACATTTATTTTAATCGACGTAAAATTATACAACGTTACAGATATTAGTGCATTTTGTGTCCATTTGTGGTTTTTCGAGGCTTTCTCCAGGCACCCCAATCCTCAAAAGCTGCAAACGCAGCGGTTGTGGTGTGTTCAGGTGCTGGTGGAAGGCTCGTTCACCTGCCTCGTCATATTCGTGAGATTTAAAGTACAACTTATTGCAATCGATTTCAACACAGATTCTTTTTTTTTAATGGTTCAAAAATGTTATAGATTTACGGCGTTCTAACTACCTGTGCTACCCATCATTCATCCGTTCTATCTACTGGTAATGCGCATGCGCACATCGATGCCACGTCACATACAGCTTACTCCGCAGATTTTTTATCAATACATCCTACCTGCGCACTAGCGCCGATAGATAGACATAGCTATCTATCCGTGGTACGGTAGAAAAATCTGACGAGAAGCAGCTTTGCGCATGCGTGATTCATTTCCAATGTGGACACAGAATGGGGTTCAGTTCAATTCAAATTTAATCAAGGACAGCACATTAAACAATGCTACATGTGGGGAAAAACAAGAAACTGTTTTGTGCACAGGTTTTCTAACTTGTGCACAAAATGTATTTCTTGGTTGTACCTTTATTTAAAGAAGGTTATATCAAAAATTAATAATTGCTGTCATAAACACAGACACCAACCTTGAATTTCTGCGACTGTAAACATCCATCCATGGATGGATGGAGAAAGCTATCTCCATAACAGTGTAGGTCAGTATAAATCAGTCGTCACGTATTTATTTTTTGTGTTAGCCAATGTTTCGTCTGGAAATCGAAAACTCTAAGATCAATTTACATTTTTATTCCTGAAGGTGGGGTCTCTGTGTGCAGATGAGGTTTTCTGAATCAGGTTACTGTGGGACAGATCACCTGTCTGAGCTCGGGGAAAAGTGGGAGGGGCTCACGGCAGCGTGGGAATTCTGGCTCTTTTTAGAGAACCGACTCTTTTGGCTCGGATCACTAGTTTGTACCAAATAAAACCCAGCAGATTGTATGGAGTCATTACTTATGGCATTCACTCCCCCGGACCAGCAGGGGGCGACAGTAAATCACTTGTGTTGAGTTGTTGACTTTACAGCAGTCCCTCATACAGAGAATGCATGTTGTGACAGTGGAGAGGAAGAACTCCCCTCCACCAGTAGCAAACCAACAGCAGAACCAGAAGCAGGCTCAGTACTGAGCCCACAGCAGTCACATCAACGGGTCAACTGATCAGGAGAACTTTCCATGTTCATGGAAGTGAAAATGAGAGGGAGAACGGTTAGGTGATGGCAGCATCATGTCAGCCAATGCCCTTTTCCAGGAAGCAACCACAGCTAATCAACGTCAGACCAGGTATAGCTTCTGTGGAGAGAAAAATAACTGAGAAAACGAAAAGCTTAGTTTCTAACTAAACTGACTGTTAGAAATACCAGAACGCCACCTTCTGGCTTCTCTCCAGATCAGTTCAGGTCAGAGAAGGGAACCATTTCTGGTTTTGTTTTGTCCCCTCTGTGGGCTGCCACCTTATCGTGGTGGAGGGGTTTGAGTGTCCTAGTGATCCTAGGAGCCGCTGCAGGCTTTGTGCCTCTACTTGGGTCGGGTCTGCCGGGGCAAATGGGTCCTAGGTGAGGGATTGGACCAAGAGCAGCCCAAAGATCGCATAAAAATATAAATACAGAATGTTCCTACTTAGAGATGGCGATATAGACGGGGTTCCCGCTTACAACCAGAGCTATAGACAGAAGCCAGTTTTCTCCCAGTGTTTTATCAGCCTGGCGGGCCGCCAGGCTTTATTTTTTACCCCCACCAGGATATGGGTTATTTTAAATGGGGATTTTTCTCCACCAGTGGCAGTAAAGACAGATTAAAGTAAAGGTTTATAGTTGAGACATTGAACTGACTGAGGAGTTGTGAACCATCAGTTGCCGGTTGGCTTCACATGCTGTTATTTCTGAGTTTTGATGCCTGATCCTGCACCTCAGACTTTCTTTAACTTGACATTTTTTAACCCAAACACCCAGCAGACCGCTGATGGACGACCCCAGCATCTCATCCACTGGGCTCAGCAGGTTTTCTGGAGGAAATCCGAAAGCTTTCTCAGGTGACGCTTCCTGATTGTTCTCCATTTTGACTCGAAGCTTTCTTAGCAATCCCCCTTAAGCTGTAACTTTACAGCAGGTAACTGTGACGTCAGTTACCTGCTGTAATGTTACAGCAGGTATTTTGCTGTAACGTCAGTTAATGAATGGATCATTGTTCATGGTTGCTCTCACATCTTGTCTGTCAACGGTCGTCCTTAATAAAGAAACCCGTAAAACAACAGATTCATTACTTGTGTGCTAATTAGAGCATGTTGGTAGCGATATGTGAGATATTGAAGCTGTGTAATAGCGATTTAATAGTGTATATTAAACATATCCTATCATTTAGTGACCTGCGCAATCCAGTGGACACATTGTGGCTGCGCTGCATTTGATAAGACTGCCTATCAATGCGCAAATATAGAGCTTGTGGTGATCTATTTGTAGAGCTCTGTTTAATTTCATTCTTACAAATACTTCTGTATTTAAAATATTTTTTAAAAGTACGTTATTCTCATAAAGGATTAGTGCAAACATCTGCTTTAACTTTTCTTTTTAAACAGGATATTCTGATGAAGTGATATTTTTGTCATGTATATAAATTGTTCCAATGCTAAGCTAAGTGTAACTCCAAAGCTTCCACTCGTCTCGTCACTAAAAGAATGTTATCCAATGATAATATTTAACATTAGCAGCCTGCTGTGGTAGAGGTGATACCGACTTATAGTCTTGGTGACACTTTAAAACACAGAAGCTTCGACATACATTTTATTACAAAAATATCACAAAAATTCAAGGCATCTTGAATAAGCGCAACTTGGAGGGATTTTCTAACAAGATTCACTGAAAGGTTCCTCATAACCGAACAGATCAGGGAATTCCTGGACTTAACACTGGTAGTTCACTTTCTGGCAATTGATCAGAAATCAGACACCTTTTTAAAAACAAAACTATAAAAACACAGGACTGATTCCATTACGTAGCACAGAATAAACCGGTGAAAGCTTTATGTTTCAGGCATGTGCTTTACTGGAAATGTTTGGATGAGTCTGCTGTTAAATTACATGGCATCTGGATATTCCACATAATTCAAAATCCTAAGAGTAGCACAGCCTCACAAATTAGCAGGGATATCTGGTTCTTAAGGCTGGAGGTGCCAAATGTTTCCTCAATTTGATACAAAATATATTTACACAGAATTATGACACATTCATAAGCATTTATTCTACATAAACTAACCTCGGTTACATACAAAATAAAACTGTACACAAAAATTGAAAGTCTTTGTCACTAATTCGCCTCCTTTTTCTTCTTCTTTTTCTTCTCAGACATTACTGGTTCTGGAAGTTCTTCAGTTGCTTCGGCCGCCAACGTTTCGCTCTTTCGTTTCTTTTTCTTGACTGGAGTCTCCACGGCCTCGGCCTCTTCGGTCTCCTCTGCAGCTTGTCTTTTCTTTTTCTTCTTCGCTACGGGCGTGTCATCTTCTCCGTTCTCCTCCTTAAAAAGGAAAAAAATGTAAAGTTTTAGTGATTGTTGAAATGTATTTTTAATTCTAATGGTTACGTACTACATTTCCTGTTTTGATTAATTGTAATTGTCTGACTCGCTTCAGTGATCAAGCCCATTAATAAGGACCAGCCAATGGTTCGGAGCCAGAAGTTGATGTTGCATGTCGTACACTGAGAACGGACCACTGACGCGGGTCGAGTCTCAAATCTAAACATGCAGCAAGGGCAAAAAAAAACAAACAAAAAAAACAAAAAACAAAACAAAACACATGAAAACTGCTCACCTCAGCTTCGCCGTTCGTTTCCCCGTTTTCTGCAAGTTCCTGCTGCTTCTTCTCGCGCTTCTTGCGTTTCTTTTCCTTCTTCTCTTGTTTCCGCTTCATTTCAGCTGCTACGTCGGTAGCCTGAGGAGGGAGAGGAAGAGAAACCGTTAAAATCAGCAGTGCCACATCGGATCGGATAGTCTCCGAACCCGCTGGAAATGCTGCATCAGGCTCATTAAATCAGTTTCTGCCCTCACCGTGATGTCAGGGGAATAATTTATCATCATTTACAGCATCGTTTAGACATGAAGGTGACGTTAAAATTAAAGCTATGCTAGTCTCCAAGAATTTTTAAACTTATTGAGAAGTTGGGAAGAAAAAAAAAAAAAAACCCTCACCTCTTTCACAGCCTCCTTCATGACATCCATGTTTTTCCGTGGAACCTCTCCGGTCTCGTAGAAGGACAGACGCTCCTCCACCTGTTCACGCAGTTTGTCTCCAAACACGCTGGTTGGGAGCTCTGGAAGGCAGCAAAACAAATAATCAATGCAGGGACTGAAGCAGGTTTAACTTTCTGCAGAGCGCACACAACCCTGCTCAGAAAGTTGAATCTCAACATCAACCTGACGGATGAATGCTGTTGACGAAAAATGAAAGCATCATTGTGGTCGCCGCTACATTTACGACAAAGCGGCGCTTCACAGTCGCTCACCGGAGAAGCAGTCGATGCGCGAAGCGATGGTGCATTTGTTGGCCAGGTATCTGGAGATGCGGCCTTTGTTCTTGGCGGCGGCGCGCCCGATGAAGGTGGAGTGGAAGATGAGGCCGTATTTGGGCGTGTTGCCTCGTGTCTTCAGAGCTCTGTGGGAAGACGCAGGCGCTTTTTCACACGACCGGCAGAAACCAAGAGAGCTGCTTACTGGAAAATATGCAATATTAGAAAGAAAGAAAAACAAAAAAAAAAGAAAAACTCTGGTATTGTTATTAGGAGCTCTCTCTATAGAGTTTAACCCCTTAAATTTTCAGCCTAATCAAAGCTGTGGAAGCACCGACAACCTTGGAGCTAAAATGCAAAAGCTTCTCAGCAGCTGAACAACGCCCTCTTGTGGACAGTCAACACACAAATGAATAACCTTAAAGGTTTCAATCGCAGCTCCAAAAAAAATAAAATAAAAATTTGTATCACTTGCTCCAAGCTTATCAATAATCAACAATTGGACAAATCTGCCATAAAATTTATGTAAAATTAGACTTTTAGACCTTCCTGTGCAATGAATTTATATTAGTTCATTTTATTTTAACATTCTAAATGTCTAAAAATTATGATAAATGTTTTGCCTCAGCCAAGAACAGAGCCAAAGTGTTCATCTGTGAATAGTTCGCTTTTTCCAGATCAGACCTTTAAACTACTTAACAAAAAAACTAATTAAACTGCATTTAAAGAGTAGCAGCTAAACAATGACTAAGAGTCAAGCATCTGTCTTTATAACCCTCTTTATAGCAGAAACAACTATCTTCATCGGAGCTCGTCGGTGTTCTACCTCGGCGCTGCTGTGGCTGCTCAGACTGTGGGGCTGCGTTAGAGTCAGCGGGATCACTCCGGGGGGAAGAGCTCCTCCGGTCACCCTGCTCTGCTCCGGCCCAACCCTGCCATCACTGCAGCCACTTCTTCCCCCAGCAGGGAGGGGGCGCCCCAGTACCTGAACAGGGCCTTTTCCGCTCCCAGGATCTGAACGGTGGAGGCCGGGTACTTGGCCAGGTTGGTCAAACTCCCGGCGTGGGAGATCAGTCGGGCTCCAACCTAAAGAAAACAGCAAAGGTAAGAAGGTTTTGACTTTGCTGAAAAGCTAAAAGTTTGAGAGTTAAGTCAAGCTCTGCATATATTCTCAGGACCATCAGCACCAGATTTATTTCTCATCACACAGATTCAGGGGATTGACAGATTTTGGTAGAACATCATCGGTCCCACGCGCCACCGGGCGCGGATTTCATCTGGTGCTCACCACTTCTCCGATGAGGGCGGCCAGGTTCGGCGCCACCTGGCTCATCTTAGAGCGGAGGTACTCCTGCAGCTCCAGCCTGTAGGCGGCCAGGGACACCACGCGGTTCGAGAACCTCTCGATGTTGATCAGGTCGATGGGTGAAATGTCCATACCTGAGGAGGATGAGGGGAGACAGTCAGGAGACGATGGGAGGAAAAGCCCAACGTTTTCAGCAGTAATGCCGTCTTTACGTCGAGGTTGTTTCTCCCGACAGGATCCGCAGTGAGGACTGGAGCCGTCACTACAGGTTTATGAGAGACTCTCTCTGCCCCCCTGTGTTCGGCACCAAGGACAATTGGGGGTCCAAGGTGGGCAAAAAAGGGGCTCGATAACTTTAACACATTTTGTCCCGTCTACTGGAATCTTACACACTACACTATGCTAAAAAAGAAAAAAGGTAATTTATTTATTTTTACCTTTTTTGAAACTGAAAGGTGTGGCATGCACATTTAACAAGCCAACTGCTCGGCGCAGCAGGTTTGTTTAAATTTTATTTCTTTGTCGATGTCTGCTGGGTACTTTCTGAGCTTCTGAACTGTTATATTCAATTCTGTGCAGAATAAATAAATACGCCATTAGTTTGGCTGACCTGTAACTGCTGAGGCATCTCCAGTTTACACAGCTGAGTTTTACTGGAGTTCAGGTGGAGTAATGCCGAGCCCGGCTACACCGAGAAAACCGTATAAATAAAAACCCTACAAAACTCTTCCAAAGGATTGATGTTCCACGGAATGGAGTTGCTTATTAGCTGAAGCTTTGTCCTTTCAGTGCGACGCAGTGTGTTCTGTTTCTGTGAATTGTCCCCGTCAAATAAACAAAATGAAACGCACGTCAGCGTGTCTACATTCAGAACTCATGAACAGGAACGTGCGTTAACCGTGCTCCATTTGTTACTACAGCCTCACCGTGAGATTAGAGGTTCAAGTTTTATATAAATGCAAAGTAAAGAGGCCTGAATGGAACTGCATGCCAAACCTTTTAACTATTTGATTAAAAAAAAAAAAAAAAAAAAAAAAAAAAAAAAAAAAAAACACCTGGAAAATACACATCATTTTCCATACAAGCTTCTCTTCTTTAACGGCGCCCATGAATGATTTATTCGGCCACAATTAACGCCGCAGCTGCCCAACCTTCACCAGCGCTCCGGTGTGGGTCGCGCTCAGATTCAGTTCGCTCACCCATTGAGGAACGCGATGCGTCCAGGATGGCCTGAGCCTTGGCGCTGTCCATCACCACTTCCTCCAGACTCTCCAGGCTCTCCTCCGACAGCTCCTTCCTGTTGCCGATGAGCTGAGCCAGGCGGCAGTACATCGAGTTGTCCGTCACGATTTTGATCAGCTCCGGGAAGTGGTAGCCGTACCACTCACTGCCAAAAAAGAAACCCCAAATATAAACAAAAGACATCAGAACCACAGTATAAATAAACCTATGACTAACCAGCTACACCTTCATTCACGATGTCTCACCCAACAAAGCTGCCTTACCAGACATCAGCCAGCACTGCACCAGTGTTGGAGGAGATTTATGTACCTCCTGTTTCTATACAGACAGTACTCTGATGCACGGTCTGTGGTAAGCATGAGGAGGATTAGGTGTGAAAACTGATCAATGAACAAAACGTCATGATCATGCAGTTCCGTAAAAAGCTCAGGAAACTAATCAAAACCAGGACTGCAACTAACGATTAATTTAATAAATCAATTATTAAAATGACTAATGTGATAGAAAAGTCTGCCGCTTTGTTTTTGTTTAACTATTTAAGTTTTTTTTATACAGTAGAATTACATTAAAATATGAAAATTTATTTTAAAAAATAAAGTAAATGTTATTGCATTTTTATTTCCCAAATGAAAAGCATCACTTTATTATGAAACTGGAGGAGTTCAGGGTAGAACATATTTACAAAACCTTCCCCCCCCCCCCCCCCTTATTTTATAAAATATTAATATTTTACCTTCATTTATAAAAACCATCGCGTCCCACCGACCTAC